AAAATCGGTATGTATATTGTACTCCTCGAGCCGGACAACTTTCTAATTGACACTCATTAGCTAGGACCCACAGAAAGTCAGATATCTTTGTTTGAATGTAGAGAAAATCTCAGAATTTTGCCAGTCTCTCAGTGTCCCTCTGTGTGAGTGAGAGGAGGGGCGCCTGTCAGGTTAATTTTAACCCTTTATTTGCTGTGTGCGACTTCTCTGGCATTTTCGGGGCCTTAACATCCTCGAAAACTCTTGAAACTTTGCACACGGGTCAGAACCCATGGCAATCAGGGCCGGGCTGAAGCTGGTAACCGGCGTGGCAGGGTGGCTCGACAGCGCCCCCTGGACTGGGATTCGAACATTTGTCCATAAATCAAACACACTTGCATGAATTAATATGAAACTCGGTACAATTATAGATCACATCAGGCCAAACAACTTTCGTGCTCTAAGTTTTATTACAGTTCAAATGGAAGTTATTTATGAATTATGAATTATGGGTTGTTTGAATAATTGTCCTAGGACAAATACATCAAATTACAACGCATGTGTTTACCAATCACAACCAAACTCGGTGTGCATGAAGTCAAGACATTGAGGATGCTCAATTCCGGACGGATTTTTGATATCTCGAACGGTCTGGCCGTGGCGAGGAAATGAATTTTATGACTAAAAAAGGACACATAAAGTGTGTTATAACTTTGCTCATTTTACCTACAGTTACAAAACTTGCCACGTATATTGTTCTCGTCAAGCCGATCAACTTTCCAATTTAAAGTCATTCGCTCTGAGCAACAGAAAGTCAGATATTGTAGTTTGAATGGATTTAATTCCCCTGCGATTCTCTCTCTCTCTCTCTCTCTCTCTCTCTCTCTCTCTCTCTCTCTCTCTCTCTCTCTCTGTGTGTGTGTGTGGGTGTGTGTGTCTGTGTTGGGAGGGGAGGGCTGTTGTCTGTGTTCATGTGTGTGTGTGTGGCTGGCTGTGATTTTTCCTACAAGTCCTTGTCTCTAAGTCCTTGTCTTTTTGCATAACAATTTTGCATAACAATATTTTTAAATGACAAAATAGGCATATAACCCCCATCTTTTAAATGTATAGATTGCTTTAAATAAAAGTAAGATTGTATTTGTAATTGAAGTTGAATGAATTTAAAATTCATGTGCTATATTTCAATATATTTGTTTTCCTTAAGATTTTAAAACACTAACTTCATTCTTATCTGAATTACAAATATTTGTTTCTGTATAAAATAATACTCTGACTAAAAACACATTTGATGTTTTTTTTTGGTATTTTTATTTACATGTATTTATGTGTGTGTGTGTGTGTGTGTGTGTATAAAGTGCAGGGTTTTTTTTAGATAAAGTAGAATTTCTATAACTATGTGTTGAACTAATAAATCACTCTTGTGTGTGTTAAACACAATCTACTTAATACAGACAACTTCATTATAAAGATAAATAACAAATCCAAAAAATATATGATTATAATCTATGACAAAAAAAGCCATTACAAACTATATTATTGGAAAATACACATTGCTCTTTGTATTGTTGTAAAATATTCATGAAAAACAAGATAACAAAAATCAAAAGATAAATTATTTTAGATATAGCCATGTTTTAAATGTATAGCAGAGATGTTAATTGAGGCAGCAACATACAAACTTTCTAGAACAACATGGACCTGGATAGCTGGTTTTTATGGAGGACAGTGAAGAGGAAGAGGGTGCAAATCAAACAGCTCATTCTCAGACTACACAGCAAACAGCTTAAGTTTTTAGTGCTTTGTTTGAGGTTTTTAGTGCTCTGTCCTATCTATTATCAACATATAATAGATGGAACAGAACAAGAAAGGCAATTAATAATCTGTCATTGCGTCACTGCATTATGATATGAAAGGCTCAGTACAGTGTGGCACAAAACGCTTATGCGCATCCCGAGTGGAGAATGATGCGCTTAAAGCCACATGGAGTTACAGCGCACAGCGCATCGAGTCCGCATTGATGCAAGCTCTACAATACACTTCTTTTTGATAGTCAAAGCGGGGGTTACGTTTTTACACGTCGTACAGAATAACCCTAAAGGCACCAAGGTGGCGGTGCCACCGGCTTTATATTAAATATAAATATAGATGTGAGCAGCGATAAAGGGCCAAAGCCGGCGGTACCACCATCCCGGTGCCTTTGGGTAACTAAAGGCATCGGGGTTGCGGTGCCACCGGCTTGGGCCCGCAATCGCTGCTCGCAGCTATATTTAGGAATTGTTTTCATGAAAATTGAGAATATTTTTCCACGCCAATTCTCATTACCTCAATGTGAATGATTCTCATTACCTTGCTATAATGCAAAACAACTTATAAAAATGTAAAAATACAATTAAAAAAAAAACTTGAAAAAAAAAATATATATATATATAAATGTTAATATTGTTGACATAATGGTACTATTTGTTATATTATTTTCAACTCCAAACAAACCATTTTATTATTGTCATTTTTACCCTGTGGTAAAAACAGTTCATTTTCTTTATGCGAAATGTAATTTCTTCATTTTTGTTTTATTTTTCGAGTATAATTTGACTTGGAGATTTTCTTTTTATACTTTCCTCTGAAAGGAAGCACCTGAATCTCGAAATGTTTGGGTTTTGCTTGCTAAATTTGTCATATGTGGTGCGTTTGTGCAGGTTTTTTTCCACATTAGGCTGACATATCATGATAAGATGAGGTAAAACTGACATTTCATGCTGTGATGTGAAACCCATTAACCTGCAGAAAGATGGAGGAACTACAGAGTGGGTTGAGAGCAGCCAAGTCTCAGACTTTGACACCTGCTCACACCACAAATCACATGCTCTCTTTGTCTTCTCAAGAAAAACGGTTGTCAAAAAAGCCCTTTGTTTTCCAGCGATGAGATTTGGGCGCTGAGAATTCGTCGTGATCTCTCGATTGCATGTTTCACGTCATTCTTTTGAATGATTTGGTCTTGTAGAGTCTCAAAATGGGTGTTTCTAGTGCACTTTGTGCGTTTAAAATGAATAGGACACACAGTGAATATTTGGTGATGATCTCCAACACGAAACGAGGAAACCCCCACCCGTTGAAAAAGGCCTGTGAGAATTCTTTTGATGGTGAATCAATGGAGCAGCTCTGAAAGGAATTCTGCTTGATGTTATCCATTAGCAGATGCTCTCTTGTCGAGAATCGCTTTGCTAATGAATTCTCTCTGCCTCGTCTCAGCGTGTGCGGGTTTGGATTATGAATGGACTAAGAAAAGCAGCCGCTCGGAGACACGCTTTATGCATTATTCAGTGTTGATAATCTTTCATGCTCTTGTTAGGGTGGCCTTCATCTGCGCTTTTACGTGAACATGAAATTGTGGCGGGCGGTTAATTGTCATACAAAATTGTAATTTTGCAATGTACTTGTCTTTTTTTTAGCTTAATGCACATCAAACTCACCAATTTACTTGTGTGTGTGTGTGTATATATATATATATATATATATATTTATGAATTCTAAGTCATGCAAAATTTTAATTAAGAGTAAGATGTTACAGATCTATTTTGCAATATTACATTTTGTTTAATATTTAGATTTTGGTATTGGTATCATTCAAATAGATAACAACAATAATCATGTTAATAATAATTAGGGCTATCAAATGATTAATCACAAGTTTGTATTTACATAATATATGTGGGTGCACTGTGTATAATTATTTTGTATATATAAATACAGACACATGCATGTATATTTAAGAAAAAAAATATTATTTATATGTAAAATATTTATATTATATATATTTATATATTTATATATAATAATTATATATAAATCTGTATATTGTAAATAAATATAAATATTTTATATATAAATAATATTTTTACAAACTTTTATTTTGGATGCGACTAATCGCGAAATCGTTTGAAAGCCCTAATAATAATGTATTTTTTAAAAATTGAAATGCATTTAATATTGCAATTCAGTAATAAATAATTATTGTGGATTAAACATTGCTTTCATGAAATTGTTTATTATTTTGTTTTTCAATTTATTTACTGAACTCTTTTGTTAAAAAAAATAGAAATTAATAAAAATGCTTGACTTTTTTTGCCCATTTTGATTAATATTGTTGCATTATATGTTTATTTACATTTACATTTTTACCTGCATTTAATTTAGCAGACGCTTTTATTCAAAGTGGAATGCAAATTTTTGAGGATTTTTTTTTTTTTTTTTTACATTTTTTAAAAAAAAATTAACAATTGAGGAATGCAGCAAGCAATTTATCTTAAAGGCAATAAACATAAGTGCTAGTAACACAATGTTTCAGACATCGTTCAGAATATTACCTTTCCTTATTTTGTATTGACGTAGTGGTACTTTTGATCCACACTTTAGGTCCCAAGTTCATTTTTTTGTGTGTGACATTTTTATGGTTCATTGTTACATTTCATGTAAACGAAGGACCCTATGAGTTTCTATTTGTTGATATTTTACTTATAGCTCTTATAGATATTTTTCATTAGCTTTATATGGTCTCAAATTATTCAAACGATCCCTTGTTTTAAAAAGGAACATATACAATTTTTTAAAGTCTTGATTTAGTTGGGTTTTCATGCATGAATGTTCATTTGACACTGTTGCAGCACCTCTCTTCCCAGTCTGTCAGTCATTATATACGTCACCATGAAGCCCCTCCTTCTGAAAACCTCAATGTGCTCTGATTGGTCGCCTAGACCAGAGTGTTGTGATTGGCCAAGCGCTTCGAGCATGTTTGGGAAATGTCACGTCCATAACCAGGAGTTTCGATACACTCCTAACTCAACTCCATCAGGCTCCGCCCCTTTGTTTTGCATATGCATGAATGATTTAAATTAGCAATATAATGAGGAATCACAGTTATCACAGGCAAACAGACATGACGTATAATGTTGGCTTTTTCGTATAGTTGCGTCCAAATAAACGCTTTCACATGCTAATAACGTGTGTATTTTCTGTTGTTGCAGTTTGCCCCAGCAAGGACGTCCGCAACAACGCGACCAACTTGCGCGTTCTCGAGAACTGCACGGTGATCGAGGGCCACCTGAAGATCCTGCTCATGTTCAAGACCAGACCGGAGGACTTCCGGGGCTTGAGTTTTCCAAAGCTGGTCATGGTTACGGACTACCTGCTCCTCTTCCGCGTCTACGGCCTGGAGAGTATCGGCGACCTCTTCCCGAACCTCACCGTCATTCGCGGCAACAACCTCTTCTTCAACTATGCCCTGGTCATGTTCGAAATGATCCAGCTGAAGGAAATCGGCCTCCACAGCTTGACCAACATCACGCGCGGGGCGGTGCGCGTCGAGAAGAACCCCGACCTCTGTTATCTGTCCACTCTCGACTGGTCCAAGATCTCGGACTCGATGGAGGACAACTACATCGTGGCAAACAAGGATGAGCGGGAGTGCGGAGACATTTGCCCGGGTATCATCAAGGGAACGATCACCTGCAAACAGACCACCATCAACGGGAATTTCGGCGAGCGTTGCTGGAACCAAAACCATTGCCAGAGAAGTAAGTTGCCTCTCAAGGCTGCTTTTTTTTTTACCATTACATTGTCCACAATTGATATTTATCCCGAAAAGGAGGCATTCGTGCAACATTTCTTTGGGAACAATATACGTTTTTGCTTAAAATGAACCAGAAGCCTAAGTTGGGCTCTTGAAATCACCATAGATGCTTTTACTTGGTCTTTCCAGTTACTGAAACTTGAAACGGTCACCTGTGTGGACTGATGTAGTTAGTGCTACCTTAAAACCTAAAAGATAGATTTTTGGGATTGAGATTAATCAATATTTAGCAAGTTTGTTTTTTTAACCAGCTCTAGTAAACATAGGTCTTGGCTGGCTACAATAGCAAAGATGAACCGTGTGTATGTGAGCGAGTCGGCGCTTGTGTTTGGCTGGAGTAAGCCAGGCTAGTACATTGAAGGACAGTCTGTGCCAATACAAATCTTGTCCGCCGGTTCAGCGTGTACCGCACCTGCTCGCTATTCACCTCACACCCCTCTCAACCTGATTCAGCTCAAGTACCTTGTTTACTTCCATCTCTTTTTGGAGGGAAATGATATGTTCGAGCTCGATGAGTTTGTTCAGCCTTATATGCATTCAGGAACAGAAGCACACATGCTCTTCAGTTGAAAAATTGAGGAGCGCATTAAGATCTTAAGGGGTGAAATAAAAATTCATCAAATATGTGTGTTTCTGCTAAATTAATTGAATTTATTAGAATAATATTCCTGCTTCAACTGTATTTAATAATTATGTAAATATTTATTTAACTTTTATTAACTTATTATTGTCTCGATACTAGGTCAAATCTGCGTAATATGTTAAATGTTATTTCTTTTTTTTTTGGGGGGGGGGGTCACAGGGCAGCTTAAAGAGTTGTTATTATGAATTATTATTAAATATACAAATTAAATTTCGTATATAGTTTGTGTAACCAAATTAGCAATAATAATAGAAAAAAAAAAACGTTTAATTATGATTAAGCCCAAAATACACCAAATTCATGTAGGGTCTTATAATTTCCGGAATCGCGGAATTGTCCAATTAACCCGGAATCTAGTGTTAACACAGAATTTCGTGGAGTTTTTTGGAATTTTACATATTTGGAATGAAATGCTTTTTTTGTGTGGGAGAAGAACGTATGTTTGGGGAAAATGCAGATGGGGAAGCAAATCTGGGCGACGCAAGGGTAAAAAAAAACTGATTTCCCAAAAATTAAAACAGAAAAAAAAACGGAATTTGCAAAAAATTAAAACGGAAAAAACGGAATTTGGGAAAAAATAAAACGGAATTTAGGAAAAAATAAAACGGATTTTATAGGGCCCTATTCATGGTCGTCCAGTTGAAATGTTGACTACAACCGTTTTCCGTCGCAGCCATCTCTCCGTATTTACGTTTCTTTGCAGCCTTTAGCCGTTGCCTACATTGCACTGGATCCTTCACTGCAAACCAAACGTAACACTCCCCCTAAACGTTTACTCTTTGGATTCTCTCGCAGCCGGGAACAATACAAGTCAACACCTTTATGAATAAAGTTTGCCAAGAAGTATTTCCTACTAAAGCAAGGCTGTATTTGACTGGTCAAGCGTAGCCATAGCAGACTGGTGGGAGTGGCCTGGGACGGCAACATGCCCAGTGCATTATGGGTGTTGAAGTTATGGGAAGACTGGCTAGTGTGTACTTTGGTTCGTCCCTTATTAGTGATATCACAACAGCATTCGTATGGATAAGGTCAGGTTCTTAAATAAGACCAGCTGTGCTCGGCCCAAATAAAGGTTCACGTTGGTAACCGGGAGGTGTCCCGTGCTCTTCAAAGGGATGCATGCATGAAGCAACCCACTTTTTGTCATGTGATAGGTGAAAGTTTAGTCGGGCATAATGTCAAAGTGAAACCCCATTTCTGGAGTATGATGCAATGGCGCTGTATTTGGGCAAGCGCTGGGGTGAGCGAGTGTGTAACCCTACAGCAAGATACCATATCCCCAAAGAAGCACGCGCTCTCTGTCATGCCAAATAAACATAACCTGTGCGTGTGTGTTTGTTTAGCCTGACATTCATGTTTTCAGTTTTTCCACAAATAATGAGGAAAAAGTTTGTTCGAGACGGAAGGTTTTTGACTTTCTTTTGCACTCATTTCAAGACTTTACTATATATTTCTATTGATTCATATTCATAATATTATTATTTATGTGATTTTTATTATTATTATTATTATTATTATTTTGCCCCAACTCTCTACTTTCTGATCTTTTGCATTTTCATTCTTCAGTACTTCACCTACAAACAACTTTTCCAATCAATTCTTCAAGTCCCCCTGTGGTGAAAATCCAGCTTTTAATGTTGTTTATATGTCTATTTGTGATTTTTAATACGCTTTAAGACAAACCATGTGCAAATTCACAAGTCAACAGCATTGCTGAGTAAAACTACAGTGAACCAAAGACCGTCTCAAAAACGCGGTTTGAAATCGCTGTTGTTTCTGACGTCACAAACTACCTTGTAACCGATCACGTCAACGTCTCTTAGCTGGTGTGAGTGAGTGGAGGCGGGGCTCATTTGCATATTCATAGAACTCGTATTCATACTTTGCAGTCACGTGACTACCATGGATGCCTGGCGGGCAACAAACGGGTATTTTCAATGTAGAGTCCTGTAGTCCCAGGTCTTTCTAGTAGCTATCGAGTCAGTTAGCAAGCTAGCTGCATAACTACGGACTAGGATTAACTCCAAGGTGAAGGTAGTTAAATTGTGTAAAGTAGACACGTTTTTTTTAGATAATCGCGCAGTAATACTTCCTCCGTAAATAATCTAGCTCTACTGTTCTCATTGAAAACCATAGATATCAAACACTTTTGTTGTTGTTAGCAAAATACGACAGCTGCGTTGTGAACGTAGTTAGCTTCATAACACAAACAGCTGACTCGCCGAACCTGCTGGTGGCGTTGATTGACGAAACTACAGGTTAACTTAAAGGGTTAGTTCACCCAAAAATGAAAATTCTGTCAGTATTTACTCATGTTGTTCCAACCCTGTAAGACCTTCGTTCATCTTCAGAACACAAATTAAGATATTTAAGATATTAAAATCGCTCCTGCATATTAGTCCATAGGCTTCTTGGGGGAATGACTTGCTGTCCTCGAAAAGTCATTAAAGACATCGTTAAAATAGTCCAAGTGACTACAGGGGCTCAATCTTAAAGGGTTAGTTCACCCAAAAATGAAAATTAAGTAATTAATTACTCACCCCCATGCTGTACCAACCCCGTAAGACCTTCGTTCATCTTCGGAACACAAATAAAGATCTTTTTGATTGAATCTGAGGGCTGGATAACTCTTCCATAGACAGCCTGAGGGACTGCCTCTTGACGGCCCAGAAAGTCATTAAAAGAAAAGGTTTAAATATTCCATGTGCCTACAGTGGCTCAACTATAACTTTATCAAGCGACGAGACTACTTTTTGTGCGAAAAAAAAACGTAAATAACGACTTTATTCGACTTTCCATTACTTCCTTATGGGCGCATGCGCGAGAACTGAGACGAGACCGTTCTTCGACTACTTTTTGTTACCGGCTGCTCACCGCTTAGGAGTTTTACCGCCCCCTACCGTATAAGATGACGTACTGATATAGCCGGAGGCGCAAAACGTTCTGTTTACAAGCAGTACGTCATCTTATACGGTAGGGGGCGGTAAAACTCCTAAGCGGTGAGCAGCCGGTAACAAAAAGTAGTCGAAGAAGAACGGTCTCGTCTCAGTTCTCGCGCATGCGCCCATAAGGAAGTAATGGAAAGTCGAATAAAGTCGTTATTTACGTTTTTTTCGCACAAAAAGTAGTCTCGTCGCTTGATAAAGTTATAGTTGAGCCACTGTAGGCACATGGAATATTTAAACCTTTTCTTTTAATGACTTTCTGGGCCGTCAAGAGGCAGTCCCTCAGGCTGTCTATGGAAGAGTTATCCAGCCCTCAGATTCAATCAAAAATATCTTTATTTGTGTTCCGAAGATGAACGAAGGTCTTACGGGGTTGGTACAGCATGGGGGTGAGTAATTAATTACTTAATTTTCATTTTTGGGTGAACTAACCCTTTAAGTTTATCAAACGACGAGAACACTTTTGTGCGCAAAAAACAACAAAAATAACGACTTTATTTCAACTATTCGTTTATTTCTCCCTCTGCGCGAGTCAGGTTACTAGTTTAATACCGTAAGCTTCTGTTATTGTACGTCACACGCATCACACACATGACGAGCGTCGGCCAATAGTGAGCCTACGTGTGACGTAGCTTTACGCTATCCCACTACGTTAACTGACTACAGGCCCATGTTGAAGGAAGTGAATAGTTGAAATAAAGTCGTTATTTTTTTTTGTTTTTGCGCACAGAAAGTGTTCTCGTCGTTTGATAAAGTTAAAATTGAGCCACTGTAGTCACTTGGACTATTTTAACGATGTCTTTAATGACTTTTCGATGCCAGCAAGAGTCATTCCCTCAAGAAGCCTATGGACTAGTACGCAGGAGCGATCTTAATATCTTAAATATCTTTATTTGTGTTCCGAAGATGAACGAAGGTCTTACAGGGTTGGAACAACATGAAGGTGAGTAAATACTGACAGAATTGTCATTTTTGGGTGAACTAACCCTTTAAAGACACGATTAATTACATGATCATACCCATTGTATTCAAACAAATGTTGAAATTACCTTTGCTTATCTCATCTGGTTGGTGCAACCAATCGCACGGCACAACGACTATCTGGCGTGTCATTTACACCTCGAAACACCAACTTTTGTATAAAAACTTGCAAGATCCTGGGTTTCATTGCTGGAGAACGGCGTTCTTGCCCGCCAGCCAGTATTTGTGACGTCATGTGCAAAGTATGAATACTAAATGAGAGAACGGCGTAGTTACATTCAAGCTATTTTGAGACAGGAAGAAATGTTTTTCAAGGAAATAACACTTTGGTGATCAAAGATACGTTTTAAGGCATAAAATGATGGATTACATTGG